AAGCTTCACTAATTATACATAATCCAGAAGGGGCAGAGAGAGAGAGAGAGAGAGAGAAAAAGGAGAGTCAGTGAAATTAGGCCGAACCCAAAATATTTCATCTCCTTTGCAGAGTTTAGGGAAAAAACGAATCATTTATTTAATCTTTGACAAGAGATGGTGAAACTTTCACTGACGACCACAAACAAATGAGTGAAATACCGAGGATACAGTAAGACTATTATAATTTAGCACTTAAACTAATTTGAAGATCGACAAATAAAATGTTTTTATGAATGTGACGCCAACTTCTACTGATATATCGGTTTGCACTAACTCTACTCGACTCTGAAGTAGCCGTAGGCAGAATGTCCATGCACTCCTCCTCAGACCCAGTCATGGAATATATTTACAAAGAATTAAAAAAATATATATTATAGGCCTTCAAATAATTGGGAGATTTCACCTGGATATCAGTGTTATTATCCACACCCTTAAAATGGCGGCGGTTGCACTACTCCAGAACTAGCGTAGTACACAGACGTTATTAACCAATGGCACTAACATCACACATCATAAACACCTTTAAAGGGCGCTTAAAAGCAAGATCGCAAACCACATGGACTCACAATGTGCACATAATGCTGGCCAATATGGGTTTAGAGCAGGATGCTCCCAACTATGGCAGCCTTTGATGCCACCTGAAGACAAACAAAACGATGATGTAACATATACAGATTACGCAAAAGTTTTCACAAATGTGACCATAGTGTAATTGCACAAAGAATGCACACAAACGGAATTACTAGCAAAGTAGGAAGAATGATCTCATCTCTCCTAACGAGCAGAACTCAAAAAGAGTAATTACCAACAAAGTAAAATCCGGATCATCAACCGTGGAATGCTTAGTCTACCAGGTTCTTGCTACAAGTACTTGCTCTAGTAATTGTTCTCATTACTATATCGGGCGTAGCGAATGACAAACTATTGTAACCTACCATCCTGTGAAGACGACCGCAAGATGTTTATGACAGTACACAATGCAGAGGAGACCGCAGACTTTCCCACTGATATAAATCAGGTGATTCAGCGAGTCACAGAAAACAACACAATGTTCAATGTAGAGAAGTTCCACCGACTTTGTAATGGTAAAGTCGAAACCATTAAAACGACAACCACATATAAAATGCAGTCAAATCTAATGAGAAAAAGCAATGTAAAGGATAATCTTGACAGAAAGCCTTACTTCTAACATATACAACTAAGTAGCTATCCAAACAGGAAAAAAATGACAGGCTGGATAAAAAAAAAACATCTCAACAAGAGATGCCAAACCAATAATGGTATTTTTTATGACAAAAGTTATCTACGTCATCAGATATACGTTCAGTGTCTTCCTCAGTATTCGTACATGACAGTCCTCGACAGTCTCGACACACAACGCATCATTTCGGTCCAGAACTCTTACATTCACATCTCCTGGCACAGTTGGATTTACAAGTGCAGGAGACGTGTATCAACTCTGGTGGGGCAGGGTTTCTGGTCATACACACGGGTGTCAAGGTGTCTCCCTTTCCTATCCCTCTCCAGTCAGTAGGGTTCCTCTCATTAAATTACTATTACTGACCCTTCTGGTGGACACGACATGAATACTGAGATGCTACATCACGATTCAAAAGCAATGATGCGTGGTCAAACATTTTGTCCACTAGTTGATTAAAAAATTAGGTGATTGGATCTGTTGGACCGTAAATCAGTACTCTCTGATCGTCCATATCATTCCCCTTCGTAGTTCGTCCTTGAATCACGATTTAAATTAAAACTTAATAATTTTGGTATCAGATTCTATCCTCCATTTCCCATTCGTCTAGTGATGGAGTTGGTTGACAAATGAAATTTACCAAGTTGAAGAGATGGTCAGAAAAATGGCTACTGGAGCTCAACACGAGCAAGTGTAAAGTTGTGTAAATGGGACTAGGCGATAGGAGACCAAATGTACTGAACATAATGAAGGGTAACTACTACCTGTGACGATTTGAGAGACCTTGAAGTGGACGTAACACCAAATCCGTTCCATTTATCAATTCATCCATCGATTTACTGTGTTTCTCTCAATGTGTGTGTCTGTCTGTGTGTCTCACTCTGTGTATGCCTCGGT